TCACTTTTCTCCTCCCCTGCCCACACCCACTCCTCCTCCTTTCTCTTCAGAAAAGGCCAGGCCTCCCTGATGGATATACAAATCATCCAGCCATGGCGTATCAAGTTGCAGTAAGGTTAGGTAGGCACCTCCTCTCCTATCCTCTCCTATTAAGGCTGGATGAGGCAGCCCAGTAGGAGGAAAGGCTCCCCAAAGCAAGTAACAGCGTCAGAGACAGCCCTGCTCCCATTGTTAGGAATCTCATAAGAAGACCAAGCTACACAACTGTAAACACAACTGTAACATACGTGCAGAGGCCCATGCAAGTCCACTGATTGGTGGTTCGGTCTCTGTGAGCCCCTATTAACCCAGGTTAATTCATTCTGTGGGAATTTTTGTGGTATCCTTGGTCCCTCTGGCTCCCATAATCCTTCCTCCCCATTCTCCACAGGATTCCCCGAGCCCCACCTAATGTTTGGAAACATCTGGTTCCATGAGTTGTTGGATGGAACCTCTCTGATGACAATCGGGCTAGGCACCATCTATGAGTACAACGAGTGTCGTTAGGAATCATTTCATTGCCTTTTTTCTTTTCCTGCCAGTCATGTTTGGTTCTGTCCAGGTCTCTGGGCTCTCCAGCCTAGCCTCTGGGTCATGACTCCCCAGGCAGTGCCAGGGGTGGGTTCCCTCTCGTGGTGCGGGTCTCAAGCTGAACCAATCACTAGTTGGCCACTCCCATAATTTCTCACACCCTTGTCCCAGCACGTCTCATAGACAGGGCAAATTGTAGGTCAAAGGTTACTGGCTGGGTTGAGGTCCCAATCCCTCCACTGCAAATCTTGCCCGGTTACAGATGTCCGGTTCAGGTTCCATATCTCCCTTTGCTGGGGAGTCTTAGCAAGGGTCACCCTCCTAGATTCCTGCGAGCTTCCATTTCACTAGGTTTCTAGCTCATTCCAGAGATGCTCCTAGTTCCAGTTGTCTTTCCCGAAATCTCTACCTGGATTCCATGGGAATCCCTCCTGTCCCCATGCCTCCCATTACCATATAGACCCTCCCCCGCCCCCATCCCTCTGTGAGTCTGTTCTATTTCCCCTTCACAGTAAGACTTTTGTATCCCTATTTCAGCCTTTTTTGTTATTTAGCTTCTTTGTTATTTAGTTTTGGGTCAGTGGATTGTAGCATGGTTATCCTTTCTTTTATGGCTAATATCTACCTACAAGTGAGTACATCCCATGTTTGTCTGGGTTACCTCACTCATTACGAGGCAGGATTTCTCTGTGTAACCCTGGCTCTCCTGGAACTCCCTTGCACATCTGCACACCAGGCGGGCCTGGAAACTCAGAGATCCGCCTGCCTCTGCCTCCTGAGATTAAAGGCGTGGGCCACCATCGCCGGGCTTCTTTCTTTCCTTTTTTTAAATATTTATTTATTTATACAATATTCTGTCTGTGTGTATGTCTGCAGGCCAGAAGAGGGCACCAGATCTCATTACAGATGGTTGTGAGCCACCATGTGGTTGCTGGGAATTGAACTCAGGACCTTTGGAAGAGCAGGCAATGCTCTTAACCACTGAGCCATCTCTCCAGTCCCTTTTTCTTTCTTTTCAAGGCAGAGTTTCTCTGTGTAATAGTCCTGGTTGTTCTGGAACTCATTTTGTAGACCAGTCTGTCCCTGAACTCACAGAGAGCCACTTGCCTCTGCCTCCTGAATGCTGGGATTGAAGGAGCAAGCCACCTCTGCCCAGCTTGAATGCTGGATCTTGCACAGGCAGGATAAGATCAAGAATTCATTAAGGTCAGAGGGTATTGAAGAATCACAAAGAACAAATATTGTAATAGGTTTTACCTCCTTCCATGGTCACTAACCAGGAAGAAGAGGATGCAGGCACCTATGCCCATGTCGGTAAAAGCATCCGAGGATGCTCTAGAGAGGGGGACAGGATCTGGAAAATGTTCTAACATATCGTTTGTCTTCTAGATGGGTAGTCATTAGCAAAGCCTCCCCTGACTGTACCCTTTGCCATTTGGATCTATTCAATGCACAGGCCTTAAGAAAGGAACACTCAGCATTTTTAGCACACGGGCCTGACCTGAACTGGAGGATAAAAAATGGTCCCTACCAGGGTATGTAACTATTTAGTGAGTAAACCAACAAGGTACAAAGTCTCCACAGCCGTGAGCCGAACCTGGCGTGTGCTGAGTTAGATGGACCAGTTCCTTGCTGGGTGAAGCTTGAGAGGCTCCTGCAGGTCACATGCTTCCTAAGTGTGTCACAATTGTTATCAACAGGAAGCACTTTCAGGGCAGTCCCCCAGAGGCAACAGAGGGCGTATTAGATGTCAAGTTACTCAAGAGAACAGGAATTGGTTAATCACTGGGGCTCTGAAGTCGGTCTGTATGTCCTGAGTACCAGGGGTGATTCTCATTCTAGGTTCTGGTTTCCTATAGCTTTTGGAAGGGCAAGAGGGGTTGAGACAGGGTTTCTCTGCATGGCCCTCCCTGGCTGGTTAAAAGGGTCCTGACTATCCTGGAACTTGCTCTGTAGACCTGGCTGGTCTCGGACTCAGAGAATCACCCGCCTATGCTTCCCATGTGCTGGGATTAACGGTATGCATCACCACTGCCTGGCGCTGGCTTCCCACAGTTAGGAAATGTGTAGCATCTATGTTTTATAGCTCCTGATACTGTTTCTCTACCTCAGATACTGCCCCCTTGATCTGCCCCTTGCCTGGTCCCCATGACCAAGGGCATCTCCTAAGGCCAGAGGATGCTATCAACCTAGTGAACCAGTGTCCGTGGAGGTATTATATTTGGAGGACTATGAGTTTTTCCTCTGTGAGGAAATAGATCCCCGACACCAGGGATGATTCTAGACCTCTTCCAGTTGAGGATCACCCCCCAGTAACTGCTTTGTTACGGGTGCTACTTGCACAACCTCGAAACCCTGACCTCATGGCTGCATAGTGGAACGTGAAAGAGGTGGCTATGAATAGCCAGTTCCTGCTGAAGAACGGAAAGCAAGTAGCCTTGGCCGAATACAGGCCCAGCAAGTGTCTGAAACCTTGCTGGCTAGCCCAAAAGGACCCATGCCTGACCCGTGGATAACCTGTTCAGTTGGATGGACACTAGACTCACTGTGAACCTTTCCCAAAGGCCCACTTATCTGGGGACCAGATAGATAAGTGATAGCCACAAGAGGCAAACATGAGGAAGGGCCAACCCTGCTTGCCAGTTGTGGCTAGTAATTAGAATTGCTTTTTGGAGCGGGAGCAGGGGTGGGGGTTGCGCACACCTTTAATCCAAGCACTCAGGAGGCAGAGGCAGGTGGATCTCTGTGAGTTCAAGGCCAGCCTGGTCTACAGAGTGAGTTCCAGGACTCACACAGCTACTGAGAAACCCTGTCTCAGAAAGGCAAGCAAAAAAGGAATTGCTCTCTGGAGTTTCTGCAAATAACTGACACTAAGATAATTCCTGATGGTGGACAGATCCCAGGAGGAGGCCGAACCTGAATTCTGAACTTCTTAGAAGCTATTCATGATGCGTCCGAGCACCAGGCTCTCCCAACCTGGCTATCTCCAGCTCTGTGAACTGTGGTGAATTCCCAATCACTGGCAATGCTTTAACCTCAGGTTCTGAGATTATGCGAGGGACATAGCAGAGCAGTGGCCATCACATTATGGTGAGCTCCGTGAATGAGGTTTCTGGTGTCTTGTGGAGCGGTGTGGCTCACAAGTGGTTCTTAGAGCAAGCCAAGTGTTTTAAGGGCTGGCAGCATCAACAAATGGAGCCACAGGGGACCTGGTCCTGAGTCCCTATGGCCAGGGACAAGATGGCAACGTGGACCTAAGGAAGACTAAAGGAGGAAATGGGAGATGGCAGGGGACTGAGCAGTGGGCAGCTGTGGAAATCCTGCTACTTGGTTCCAGACTCCCCTTGGAACAGACTAGACAGTACTAGCTGCTCCCTGTTGACAGGCTGAATCCGCACATTCAGGCAGAATAGAGAATGAGAGTGGTGAGCACCCAGACCAAGATTTCATGCTCCAAGATTCCTCTGACATCACCATCAGCTGCCTTCTCAAACACTAGGCAGTTAGCTATCAGACGCTCAAACGCTTTTCTGTCAGGAGGCATGGCCCCAATATCTCTTGGGACATTTACTTGCAAGAATTGACCTTTGTTTAGAGTCTTGTTAGCAGAGCCTAAAGGAAAACAAGGTACTAAGTGTCATGCGGCTGCCCCTCCATTCACAGGCACCAAGCAGTAGATTGTGGATACGGTTGTCCAAGCCATTGCTCACCCCAAGTCTAGCCAGCGACTGTCTTGGGTTAGGTAAAAGCAGATACTCCTATTGGATTGATCTGGGTGCTCATTGCCAATCACCTATGACCTTATAAAGTTTAAAGGCTCTCGACCCGCCCAGCAGGTCCTAAGTTACTCCAGGGTCTTGAAGAGGCACTATCTGAAAGACATTGGAGGAAAGGGAAACGGACGCCAAGAAGTATTCTTTTGTCAAGGCATCCATTTATTGAAGCAAGTTTCATGTCTTAAATACTCCTCAGTAAGGAGCTCGGGCAGGGGGAACTGAGAAAAGGGGGAGGGATGAAGGGGGAAGGGGGAAAGGGGAAGGGAAGGAGGGGCTCGGTAGTTAGGCAACTAAGCAGGGCAGTTTGGCAGCTAAGCAGGGCAGTTGCAAGGTCAGTGGCTAGAACACCTGCTGTTAGTGATAAGCAGCAAGCCCTGAAGACACTCTGTGGTGCTTTCCAGAGCTTGAGTCTCCACGGTCAGCACGTAATGTTTTGGCTAACTTTAAGTTTTCTGTCTCAAGATTTTTACTTCAAGGCCCTGTGAGATGTGAGAAAGGAGAAGCCTGAAATGGCTTCTGACAGACTCTAAAAGGAACGCTTGTCAATCCCCATTCCCAATGCACAGACAAACAGCTAAGACTCGTCTGGGGATAAAGTTCTATCTGCTGCTTAGACCCATTCAGTGTAGAGTATACAGATATACACGGGATACCTTAAGGAAATCAATAGCTTTATTCTTCCTCAATACAAAGCACAGTTAGGGTAAACCCTTTACATTTCTTCAGTATAGAGTATACAAATATACACAGGATATCTTAAGAAAATCGATAGCTTTATTTTTTCTCAATACATAAAAAAATGAGTCTGAGAAAGATGTGAAGTAAACTAGAGTATGTACAAAATCAGAGATGCCTAGAGCCTGCCCAACAGAGGGGAGGCAAGGTCTTTGATGGTTTTGGAGTTCAGCTGGGGGATCGTGCTGATCTTCAGGAGCCTGCTGCTGGCATACTTGTTCTTGACAGCCTGCAGAAGGCAGTTGTGGTTAAGTAGGATTCAGGACCGCCCAGCATACCCGGTCTAACCTACAGCTGTGAGGGCGATGGCCGCCATCTCCAGCATCTCAGACAGCTGATGATGCCCGATCCCCGGGCCTTCCCCTCATAACACCTGCACCAAGCGGGCCCCTCCAGCCCTGCTAGTCGCACAGCAGTGAAACAGTTTCAAGATCCGAGGAAGAGGCCCTCTTGGGAGCTGTCTGACGGGTGAGGGCACTGGCACTGTGATACTGGGACCGACAGCACAAACTGGGAAAGGAGAGGTAGTTCTATGGTCTTCAGGAGGACCCCAGTTCAATTCCCAGTGCCCACAACCATCTACAGCCCCACCCGCAGGAGATTAGACCCCCTCTTCTGGCCTCTACAGGCACCTGGTATGTATGTGATATGCAGACAAAACACTCATACACATGCTTTTTAAAAATGGAACTAAGCCATGCGGTGGTGGCGCACGCCTTTAATCCCAGCACAGAGGCAGGCGGATCTCTGTGAGTTTGAGGCCAGCCTGGTCTACAAAGTGAGTTCCAGGGCAGCCAGGGATACAGAGACACCCTGTCTTAAAAAGTTAAGAGTGTATGGCTACTAGAACGTCACAAATCCCAGTCACTATGCCTCCAGCTCACAGTCACACGAGAACTGCGCGCCAGCGAGATCATGCAGTAAGGGCACAAACACTTTGTTCTGTCACTGGCCTCTTGGGGGATGCTGATATTGTGTCCCACAGGCACAGCGCCCCCCCCCCCCCATGTTTTCCCGGCATAGGTCCCTCTCCCTTCTCCATATTCACTCACTAGGAGCCTTTTCAAAAGGCCTGAGTAACAATGAGCTGAACTGGAGGCCACTAGAGGGGGCCTTCTCTTCCCAGCCCCACAGCAAACAATCTTCCCCGCTTGCTGTGTGCCTGCTCAGGATGCGGATGCAAGTGTGGGAACGCAGGGGCTGGCCGAGCAGGCACCAAGTTCCTTAGCTAGCCAAGGTTAACCAATGGGTACATTCCATTCTTGGAGCCTATGCTGTAAGAGCATCACTTCCACACACAGCCCAGAACCGAGCGCTCCCCGAGTTCAGGATGCCAGCACTTACGATGAATTTGGTGAGGTTTTCATTGACTTTCACCACGTTCTTGGCCATGTGCTGCATGACTTCCAGCACCTCACTCTCCATGTATCCTGTGTAATACTGCTGCTTCAAATTCTGAAACACAAGCGGAAGCCATGAAGGGCCCCCAAATGCTTCCTTCCCTGTAGGAGAACACACGCCACGTCTCCTGTGTGAGAGCTGCGAGGGAGCCGGGCTGGTGGTGCAGGCCTGTATCCCAGTGACTGTTTAGGGCTGACAGGACACCATAGTGCAACCCTGTATCAAAGTGATAACAGCTGGAGATACAGCTGTGACGGCATGAGTGAGGGCTTGGGGTCCATCCCAAAATAGGACTAAAATAAATTTAAAATTTAAAAAAAAATGGGGAAATTTTTACCTTATAAAACCCAGTCCAGCCCAACCACTTCACCAGCACCAAGCCACAGAGCATGGCTCCGTCCCTGAGACAAGGCTCGCTTAGGACAGTAAAAGGCGCTCAGCTCTAACAGACCAAGTGCTCATGACATGTTTGAGAGCAGCTGCACAGGTCTGGAGGGCGCTCCAAGCAACAAGCATTCTTCCACCCCTTGCTGGGCAAAGGCAGAGCGAAACACATACACAAGAGAGTACCGGCCCTCTCCCCAGAGTGGCACCCGCCTCCCAGCCGGGTCAGCAGTGCTAGCCGAAGCTTGCGGGCCACGGCACAGTGAAATTCGGACTTGAGAAGCGACTGTGTCAGTAAAGTATATGCCTCGCAGACCCAGGGCCCCGAGTTCACAGCACACGGGCTCCAAATGCAGCCTTCTTCTTCTCCCTTAAACTCACCCATCTTCCCTGGCCCAGCACCTTCTGAGCCAGGCAGGAGGCGGCAGCTGCGACCTGAGAAGGGTGGTAATGCACCATGTCATAGTCGATGAGCGTCAGCTCCATCAGGTACTTGGCTAACGTGTGCTGCTCCACGTCCACCTAGGAGACAGCAGCACACTGAGCCTGCATTCGGCCACTCACCTCCCACCAGAAGCTGTCTATGGGAGCCTTCTCTCGGCTGCGCTGGGGTGAGACTGAGCACAAGCCAACCTTCTGGGACACAGTGGCACTCACCTCCCCAGCTTTGGAGGCTCGCCTTAAGAAGTGGAGTGGCAAAGGCCGGCCTAACTCGAATTTCAGCTCTTTCAAAATCAGAGTCTCCATTTCTCGGATTTGGGAACTGGTGTAAGCATTGTCTGTGATATAAACAAAGTCTTCGATATTGGGGGAAAACATCTCCTCATATTTGGAAGCCAAGAGCAGAGCTGTGATCCCAACCAGCTGCAGCTTCTTCCGGCAGACGGGCTGAGCCTGATTGAAAACAAACACATCCGGAGTCACCACTGATCAGTTTCCACCAGGGCTCTGGGCGGATGGGGTGACGGAACCAAGTTCTTGCAGGACACAGGAGACCTGAACCGTGGCAGTAAGAGCAATCACTGAGCAGGGCATAGTGGTAAGATTCCAACACACCATCTCACTGGGTCCTCCCAGAGGACCTGACGCCAGAGATTTGGGTGGTCCCAAATGTCTGCACGACCTTGACTTGGTACTTGGTGTGCTCTGCAAGTCACAGCAAAAAGTGAGAACTGTATGGCAGGCTGAAATATTCCCTACTCAAAAGTACACCTCTAACCACCTTGAAAAGCCTCTTGTTCAAACAAATTGCCACACGCATACAAAAATCTCTCCCCAATGCTTCAGAGTTGGGGGGAAAACCTCAGTGAGCTAAAGTGTGTGCTTTAAACTTCCTAAAACGGACTGGCGAGATGGCTCGGCTTGCCGACTACCACACCTGGATCCGAGCCTGAGCCCCGGCATCCACAAGGTGGAGGGAGAGAAGCAGTGCTCAGAGCCGTCTCTCGCCTCCACAGGGGCTGCCACACTAAGTACGTGGAATTCTTCTTCTTTTTTTAAAAAAAACGATTTATTATTATGTGTACCGTGTTCTTCCTGCACATCAGAAGAGGGCACCAGATCTCATCACAGATGGTTGTGAGCCACCATGTGGTTGCTGGGAATTGAACTCAGGACCTCTGGAAGAGCAGCCAGTGCTCTTAACCTCTGAGCCCCAGTAAATGTAAATTTCTTAAAACAAGAGGTAAGGAGGGGAATGGAGACACCTCAGCGGGTAAAGGCACCTGCTGCTGCCAAGCCTGATGACCTGAGTTCAATCCCTGGAACCCATATGGCACAGAGGTGAGAACCAGCCCCCGAGTTGTCTTTCCTACCTTCATCCCATGGCACACCCACCCACACCCCAAACATACACAAGTAAAAATGTGGGTTTAGTTTGTTTTTAAAAATTATTAGCCGGGCGGTGGTGGCGCACGCCTTTAATCCCAGCACTCAGGAGGCAGAGGCAGGCGAATCTCTGTGAGTTCGAGGCCAGCCTGGTCTACAAGAGCTAGTTCCAGGACAGGAACCAAAAAGCTACGGAGAAACCCTGTCTCGAAAAATCCAAAAAAAAAAAAAAAAATTATTTACATTATGTGTGTTGGTGTTTTTCCTACATGTATGTCTGTCTGTGACAGTCTCAGACCCCCTGGAACTGACTAGAGCTCCAGACAGTTATGAGCTGCCAGATGGATGCTGGGAATTGAACCCAGGTCTTCTGGGAGGGCAGCCAGTGCTCTTAACCACTGGGCCATCTTTCCAGCCCCTTTAGCTTTTTAACTGGGACTTTGCTTTTCTTGCTTTTGCTTTCATTACTGGAAGTCTACACACAAGATAATACTGTATTTTCCTGCCCAGTGAGTATACTGAGAACCACTCAGTCTATTAGTTAGGATTTGAAAGTATCTCACAGTCATTATTTTAAGTGATAATTATCACCATATCGTTAGAGCAGAATCTGTATACTTGGCCTAACCATTTATTATGAGTATTGACTTTTAAGTCTGCGAGGGTGCTGTGATGAATAACACCCTGGCTGTTTAGCACTGAGCTCCACCCCCAGCCCTGGGATGTCAGATAGAGTGGCTGCTTTGCCTAGCAGTCTCAAAGCTGTGGGGCTCCAGCAGCAGCAGACCGCAAGTAAAGCAGACATCTGATACCTCTGCTAGGCACTCAGCATATTGTGCATTACAGCTGATGAATATTTCAAAGGTGGCTGAGGGTCTCAGCCACTCCCTACATCCCTCCCTCATGCTCTGGGTTCTCAGTCTATTCTACACTGGTATCCCTGCTCTTTGTTTTGGGAAGGATTTGGCCTCTTTTTGCATTTTTTTTTCTTCAAAGATTTATTTGTTTATTATCTATCTAGTGTTCTGCCTGCATGTATGCCTGTATGCCAGAGAGGGGACCGGATCTCATTCTGTATGTGGATGCTGGGAATTGAGCTCAGGACCTCTGGAAGAACAGACAGTACTCTTAACCTCTGAGCCATCTCTCCAGCCCTCTATTGCATTTCTATGGTGATTCATTACCACAGCTAGTTAGAAATCAAGATTCTTAGTTGGGTGGTGGTGGCGCACACCTTTAATCACAGCACTTGGGAGGCAGAGACAGGTTTTTGTGAGTTCAAGGACAGCTAGGGCAATTGCACAGAGAAACTACGATTCTCTCCCTCAGCTCTGAGATGAGGGAGCATGGACACTGAGAGCATCAGACAGTGAAAATGGTGTGGGCACCAGCAGAGGCTTCGGCTCACTTCTGTGCCACGTGATGGTTTATTTCCCTAACAAACGACCATAGCTATGCAGGACCCATAAACCAAAACTCCTTAGCCCAAAATACCTATCCTTACGTGACAAGCTGTAGTCAAAACATAAACATACTGAAATTAGTAGATAAAACTACCTTTAGCCTTGCAATACAAGGTATACATGCAAGACCTCACACAGTTCTGGGAGAAAGCAGCTTAGTGAGTGAGTCGCCATGATGCTCCCACTCCAGACAGACGCAGGTTAAGATCCTCTCTGGTAAGCCAGCTCATGGGCTACACAGAATATTAGAAATGGGTTAAAACAATATGTAAGAGCTAGCCAATAAGAAACTGGACCTAGCCGGGCCAGGCAGTGTTTGAAAGAATACAGTTTCCGTGTAATTATTTCTGGGTATAAACTAGCCATGCGGGCGGCCGGGTGCCGGGGACGCAGCCCTGCCGCTCCTATTTCAACAGATGGCGCCCAGACGTGATGGGCTAAATCCACTTAAAAACCTGAGAGGGCTTAAAAAGGAGAGAGAGAGAATTTAAGACAGCTTTTTGCTGTTTCTGGGTTGCGTGCCGCAAAGAAATTGTCCTGACTCGGCAGCAGGAAAAAACTGGCTGTTTTAAAATGCCGGCTTTCTGGGCTGTGCCGCCATTGTGATCTCTGTCTGGCTCCGGCGGGAGACAGAGCTTATGAATGGAGCATTTGGATTAAAGTGCTACGATTTGTTTGATGGCAACTAGACTGCTGTGTGCCTAAAAGGGGGACATTGTGTGCCGCAGCTCAGAGGCACAAGCAGCTCCGCCATGCTAATGGTGCAATGTGCAAGGATCAGAGGCACGAGCGGCTCCGCCATGTTGGACTGGGCGGGGCCAGCATACAGTACCTGTTTTTGACCTAGGAATGTCACAGCTTAGATTCTTAAGCGCTTAGTGATTTAAAGGCGCAAAACAAAGTGCTCCTGGATAGTAAAAAAGTTACAGATTCACAATAAAACAGATTCAGACACTGTTGGATAAATGTACGTAGGCTTGGGAAAGAGAAGAAAAAGAATATAAAGAATAAAGTTAATGTCTTAAAAAGAAAAAGGGTAAAGTCTTTAAAGAGACAGAGTACAGAAGTACAGATAGTTATAGATTAAGAGAAATAAAGAAAAATAAGCCACGTAAAAATGGAAAATTCACAGAGAGTCTGGATTATGTACATTGTGTTTTCTTTAAAATTTTTGACTGTGAAGGAGCTAAGTACAGAGAGACATTTCATTATATGGGCTGCCAAGCTAAACCAAAATGGATTTCATGAGGGTATTATGATTTCAGAATTTGGGTCTAAGGATATGATGCTTTGGAGAGGGTCTTCTTTTGTTTTTGCAGAGGATGAGACCCTGTGGATTGCATCTATTCCGATTTGGTATGATAGACCACGCCCTCCTGAAAGGTTGCTGTGAACACCCTCAAAAAATTGCTTCGCTCAATTGCCAACTGAGATGAAACTAGCATACAGGTTATATCATGAACAACCTAATTAACGACGCCCCTATTCAGCAGGAAGCAGTTTGGAGAGAAAAAACTACGCCCATGTTCCCAAATATTGTTTATAAATGTTCTTTTACATTTAAAGGGGGATATGATATAGATATGAATAATTTGCATTGGTATGGATTTTAAGGTCAATTTTGTTATATGTATATGTATTTTTGATCTTGATTAAGGTATTGTGATTGTGTAGTTCATTTAAAAATGTAATGTATAATTAGGAAATATAGGTTGTTAATGGATAATCATCGCTAATAGTTAAGCTTGTAGTCATGTTAATTAGATTTTCTAGATATATAGAGATATATTTCAGTTAGATAGGCATTCTTCATATCTTTCAAAGACTGCAGAATATGGCATTTAAAATATTTTAATAACTTAGGACTTTTCATGACAAGGAGACACGTCTGCTCCTGGCAGCACCAGCTACTTCAAGAGGAAGATGGGCATCGAAGAGGATCCTTATGGAGTTGGATAGTCATTTGGGCAAGAAACTGCTCTTGCCTGGACTGTTGCATAAACTGGACACAGAGAACCCTCAGAGAGAGGACTGCTGAACTTGCCTAAAGGTGAGATGGTCTTTCGGGGTTCCTGATTCATGAAAGAGTCTGCGAGACATTCTGCAGGACACAGCAGAAAATGACTGAACTGTCTTTGAAATTTCCTGCTTCATGGAAATGTCTCTGGATACCATGGGCCTGTAGGCCGAAGATGGATGCCCCAACGGTACAGAGGAACTTTGGGTGACTGTCCAGGCAGCGAGATGTCTCTGTCATTTCTAGAGTTTTCTTATTTCTTGTTTACTTAGATAATATTATATCCTTCTGGAGTCTTTGATGGAGTTGAAGAATAAATAGTTATAGTTTTCCTTAGTTATGATAAGAGATAAAATAGATATAAATATTGTAACTGTAATTCTTACTTGATAACTGTTTTGTTATATGTAATTTTACTATGCTAAAGTTAAAGCCTTTCTTTTTTGTTTAAACGGAAAAAGGGGAAATGATGTGGGAATGATTTCTTACTAATAAAGAAACTGCCTTGGCCCATTTTATTGGATAGAAAATTAGGTAGGCGGAGTATACAGAAGAGAATTCTGGGAGAAAGAAGGTTAGAGGAGGAGTCGCCATGATGCTCCCACTCCAGACAGATGCAGGTTAAGATCCTCTCTGGTAAGCCAGCTCATGGGCTACACAGAATATTAGAAATGGGTTAGAACAATATGTAAGAGCTAGCCAATAAGAAACTGGACCTAGCCGGGCCAGGCAGTGTTTGAAAGAATACAGTTTCCGTGTAATTATTTCTGGGTATAAACTAGCCATGCGGGCGGCCGGGTGCCGGGGACGCAGCCCCGCCGTCCCTATTTCAACACACAGTGACCTCAGGATTAGACCTGAGGCTCATCCCCCAAGATACTTCCATTATGTGCAAATCAAATCAAAAAAAGATTCAGGAAAGGATACTGTGAATGTGTGTCCTGGAGCGAACAGGATTGCCCAGAGCTGGTCAGCAGCGTTAAAGGCCTCACACCTTTGGCCTGCTTCCCCATTTTAGCAACTGAAACTCTCTGTGAAACTCTCTGGCATCTCCGATAGGCTGCCAGTCTTTTACTTCCTGGGAGCCCCAGCTCCACTTTCCACTGCACAGGGCAGCCAGCACCACACCCCCAGCTGCACTCACCTGGAGGAACCGGTCCATGATGGCAATGCACATGTACAGAGTTTCCTGTAGAAGCCTAAACTTGGAATGAACTTGGACCAACCAGTCCACCAGGATGGCACGCATACGTCCGTTTATATCTCTTCCGTCTAAGAAGTGCGGGTTGATGGACTGCAAAACCTATTGGGGCAATTCAAAAGTTCAACAAGCTGATGTCATTTCCTCCCCACATGCCTGCTAAGGTCCACACCGCTAGTGCAACCCAGACATAAAGGCCTGCCCACCTCGAGCTGCCTGAGATACTGGTAGATGTCCTTCACGTAGTCACTGCAGAGCTGAGGGTTCTCCCAGTCCTCGTTATCTATATCCTCAATCTTGCAGAGCAAAGCATCAGAGAAAGCTTGGCAGAGGTTCTCTTCCTTCATGGAGACATCCTCAGGCGCAGGCAAAGGATCCTACTCCGGTAGGGAAGACTGGAGTTACCGTGCTGCTGGAGCGCCTACCCCTGCATCCCGCACACTGTTGATACAGAGGCGGCTTGTTTTCTGTCTCCCGCGAGTTCTGTGTATCTAGTTAACTACTTTGTTCACACAGGAGCCCTCACACAGTGGGTGCTCAGTAACGAATGTGAGACCACAGAGGTCAGAGAACACGGGAGCTGATGGCTCCCCGGCAGCAGCCTCCCCTGCAGTCATGTTTTTGCTCTTCTACTACTCCTTCTAAGTGTAGACCCTGGCAAGCAGAAGGCAGGAGGGCTTATTCAGTCTGAATAAGGAGACGACAAGGTTTAGCAGGGATGCAGCCTGGATCCATGTACTTATTATGCTGACAGGGTGGTTATTTGTAAATTCACACAAATTAAAAAGTTATGCAGTTCAGGGGCTGGAGAGATGGCTCAGTGGTTAAGAGCACTGACTGCTCTTCCAGAGGTCCTGAGTTCAATTCCCAGCAACCACATGGTGGCTCACAGCCATCTATAATGAGACCTGGCACCCCCTTCTGCCTTGCGGGCACACATGGAAGGAATGGTGTACACATAATAAATATTTAAAAAAAAAAGTTATGCAGTTCAAACAAATATTTTCTTTTTGTTTTCTTTCTCCTTTTGTTTTTTTAAGACAGTTTCTCTGTGTAGCCCTGGCAGTCCTGGAACTTGCTCTGTAGACCAGGCTGGCCTCAAAGTCACAGATATCCACTTTCCTCTTCTTCCTGAGTTCTGGGATTAAAGGCGTGTCCTATCACCACCCGGCTCAAATAAATATTTCATAATGAAGTATAAACTACTGTTTGAAAAGAATAAGCGGCCCCTCTCAAAGTGCCGAACAGGACTGACTTCTAGACCATGAAGAATACATATTAACGGGAACAAAATGCAAACCCAGAGCACAGCTCATGTAAGCCAGCAGGATGTGTGCTGACTCGGGCCTGCAGTCTGAGCACTAGGAAGGGTAAGTCAGGAGGATAGCCGTGAACTCGAATCCAGCCTGAGCTATAAAGTTCCAGGTTAACAGCGCTAGAGTGAGAAAATGATTCAAAAATAACAAAAAGTTAAAACAAAACCACATAGGTAATTGTAACTAAGTTGAAGATTAATAATTTCTAGTCTTAGAGTAGGAAACAGGAGGTGGAGGGTTAGGGAAGAGGCAGTTCAAAACATGATCGGCCTCTTCAGCGATATACGAAGGTCCAGACCAACAAAGGCTAAAACCTCAGAGATTCGGAACGAATGAGATACAGATTGCTGGGTAAGCGTGACCCTTTCAAGGACTCCATCACTGTTCAGACACGTCACTAAGTGCTGCAGGCCCACCGTGCCACCCTCTGTACACTGCGTGAGGCACTAAGAGGATCAGCGCTTAAGCTAGCCTGGGCTACATAGCGGGAGCCTGTCTCAAATCTGTAGGGATAGTAGTGTAACAGCTCTGGCTGTCCTGGAACTCAGTTTGTAGATCAGGCTAGTCTCACACTTATAGATTCGCCTGCCTCTGCCTCCTAGGGGCTGAGATTAAAGGCGTGGACCACCACCCCCTGCTAAAGCTTCTCCATTTTAGTTGAACACTGTCAAGTCCTGAAACTAAAGTACTCTGGCTCCAGAACTAAAGCAACTTGTTTTTCTAGTTTCTTGCCCTCCCCACTGATCCAGCACTCAGTTACCCTTAACGATGGCCAGCTGCAGGCAGAACAGGCAAGACTTCTAGTCCCCTTTCTGCCCTACAGCAACCCCAGCTTGTGAGCTGAAAGGACTCCAAGTCTTAAAGCAGAGACCCCACTGTGGGTCCATCCTGAATACAGCCTATGGTGTTACTGAGCGGCTGTCCCTCTGTCTTTCCTTCAGATTGATCTCATGGCATGCTGCCCATCCCTCCAAAGCTATAACCTTCATTTGCCTGGTGTGTGTATTTCAAAGGGTCACATGATTATGCAAGAATAAGTGCCATTTTATGCATCAGTTAAAAAAATAAATATAAACATGAAATTTAAACATCATTAGTTAGGGTCAGCAACTCAAAATTTGTCCTTAAAAATGAATTATTAAGAGCAATTTTAAAACGGAAGAAGTAATATGCAAGTTAAAACCTTCAAACTAGATTAACAAAGAAGCCTATTGGTTGCCATGGATAACTGAAAGGCCAGTCAGAAGCTGAGGATGTGCCTGCCATCTGACTTCCTTATTTGGAAGTCTGGGTGGGGGCTGTCCAGGGGTGAGCACAGGGAGCGCTCCTACGCTGCTGCCTTGTTCCCTGTTTTGCTGACACAGGGTCTTGCCGTGAAAAGCAGCAGGCTGTCCTGGCCCACAGTCCTACTGCCCTGCCTCAGTGCTGGGGCTCCGGGCCACACCTCCAAGGTGGGCAATAGAGAAGTGCGGCAGGGAGGGGCTTCATGAGGAACTGCTCCAACAAGCGTTCCTCAGATCAGGACAGTGGTGGAGCAGAACCTGTTACAGTGACTGTCAGGAACACAGCCCGGGCCTCAGGAGGCAGCACAGAGGCTAGCTGTGTCCTGTCCATCTATTGCCCAGATTTAGAGTTGTTTCATTTTACTCCTTTCATTTAAAAGCCGAGAGCACAGTGCTTATTTTCCATTCACTTACAGGTTTTGTTTATTTTCTTTCTCATTCTTCCTTTTGAGAGGTCTCCCATGGCCCAGGCTGACTTTGAACTCGGTGATCTTGAACTGCCCCCCCCCAGCCCCGCCCTCAGAGCTGGGACACCTGCCACCACACTGTTCTGTAATGCTGTGAACGGAAAAACACTTCCCAAGATGCTTAGCTGCCTGGTCTGTCTGGACCCTAGGAATCTTGATTGTCCATACCCATGCTTGCCCAAATTTGCAGCAAATACCCTTCTTCCTTCAAACTAGTCAGTGTTTACCGAGGCCTTCCAGCTCAGAAAAAACACTGGTCGCCTCCCTCCTCATTCCCCCCACGCACACCAAATGCTGTGTGAGAAGTGCTGTGAACGCCTGAGTTAAGTCTCAGCCATCTGAGAAGCAGCTGCCTCATGCACACAGCAAGGCGCCCCCACCTCCAGGTTTATAACCTGGGATTCTGGGAACATCTGCTTTCATGGACATAGAGATCAACAGCTTTCTAGGGAAGTTACTAGAACCCCTACGCTCCACTGGTGTGTGCACAACTCCAGAGACGGTCTGTAAAGTGGCAGCAAAAGGGCAGGTAACAGCCATGGCCAGGCTCAAAGAGGGCTCTCCTGCCAGAGGCGAGGCTCTCCTGCAGACACTGTGGGCTCCATGCTTCCTTCGCTACTATGAATCTGAAGTCAGTGTGTCTGAGTGGCAGTAACTAACTGCTCCTTGATGATAATCCTAAGTCACAACACCCAGCACATCCTCTAACCAGTGGGGTGTGGGGGGGGGGGGCGGGTCTGCACAGCAGTGCCCACAGCAGCCAGAAGAGGTTGAACTGGTTGAATCCCCAGAAGCTAAGTTATGTGAGCCATCCAGCACAAGTGCTGGGAACGAAGTCCTCCAGTCCTGTGTAAGAGTAGCACGTGGAGTCATCTCTCTAGTCCCGAGAAGCTGGAAGGGATTTTACATGGACTGAGCTCTTTTTTGTCTGAAACAGGGGGCCTCAAGCCATGGAAAAAAGAAAACCAGAGTGAGAGGGAGCATTGAAGGTCACAGGAAGAAACAACTTTTTCTTTCTTCTTTTATAAACACTGTTTTTTTGTTTGTTTGTTTGTTTGTTTTTTAATGTTGAGAACTAAACCCCAGGGCTCTTACATGCTAAGCACAGCTTCTACAGCTGAGCTACCACCATCTTGATTGACAAATAGATGTCTTTCTTCTTTGCTTCAGTTTTCTGTGAAAGCCTGAATTATTTATCCTGGGCTGGCCTTGAACTCTGTAAGTAGCCAAGGATGGCTTTGAACTTTGATCCTTCTGCTAGGATTACAGATGGCCACCACCATGGACTAGCTCATGCAGTGTTGGGCACTGAACCTAGGGCTTCATGTATGCTGGGCAAACACTCCACCAACTGAGCTGTATCCCTTGACCCTGAAGCCTGAATTTCTTAAAGCCAATATTCAAAAATACAACATTAATTAAAATTTTACACAAATGCATGCTTTAAAGAGCAAATCTGAGCTGGGGGAGGCGCACACCTTTAATCCTAGCACTTGGGAAGCAGAGGCAGGCGGATCTGAGTTCCAGGATAGCCAGCACTACACAGAGAAACCCTGTTTTGAAACACCACCAAGAAAAAGAGCAAATCTGATTTTGCACATTACATAGTGTTATAATCTGATTTTGTCAGTTAACGTTCCTAACATCTTTACATCTTTAAATGCTGTACTAATTCATAGTTATGATTGTATAGGATATCATTAAATATGTTGAATGGATCTCCCAGTTAGGATTATTTCTGTTCACTGAGAGGTGGTAGCGCACGCCTTTAATCCCAGCACTTGGGAGGCAGACACAGGCGGATCTCCATGAGTTCGAGGCCAGCCTAGTCTACCAAATGATTCCAAGACAGGCTTCCAAAGCTACAGAGAAACCCTGTCTCAAAAAAAAAAACAAAAAAACAAAAAAAGAGTTATTCTTATCAAATAAATATTCATTGGCCAGGCATGGGATTGACATATGCTGACATATGCCTATAATTCAAGCACTTGGAGGCAGAGGCAGGGAGACTACTCTGAGTTTGAGATCAGCCTGAGCTATAGTTAAAGACCCTAAAAGAGAAGGGATGGAGGAGGAGGAGAGATGGCTCCTGTGAAATGGTTCGGTGGGTAAAGGCACTTTCTGCCACCCTAACCCTGCGACTCACATAGAGGAAGAAAAGCCACCCTGGAAAGTCGCCCTCTGACCTCCAAATGCACACACATGCGCACATACACACTAAATGCAACATTTTTAAAAAGTAAGGGGATGCCTAGACATGTGGTTCAGTTTGAGGGCATGAGATCTTGCATCGAAAGACACACACACACACACACATACACACACACAAGAGAGATAAAATCCAGACCCTAAGGCCTACAAATCAATCTGCAACTTTCTTCCCAACCTTATCTCCTGCTTCCCCAGACAAGCCTCTGACTAGCGTAGACCCGCAGACCCCTTGACTAAAGGATTATGTATGATTCTATATAAGCCTACTGCACTTTTTAAGACTTATTTATTTAAGGAGGGCGGTAGCGCCGCACACCTTTAATCCTAGCACTCGGGAGGCAGAGTCAGGCGGATTGTTGTGAGTTTGAGGCTAGCCTGGTCTACAAGAGCTACTTCCAGGACAGGGTCCAAAACTACAGAGAAACCTGGGGGGGGAGGGAGTGGTGTTATTTATTTATTTATTTGTACGCGGTATTCTGTTTGCATATATACCTATAGGCCTGAAGAGGGCTCCAGATCTCATTATAGATGGCTATGAGCCACCATGTGGTTGCTGGAAATTAAACTCAGGATCCCTGGAAGAGCAGCCAGTGCTCTTGACCTCTGAGCATCTCTCCAGCCCAGCCTATTGTATCTTTGTGCTGTGATGTTGCTGCTGCCCTTAATCACTAAAACGGTGCTATTGCTGTGATAAGACAGCATGGCCAAGGCAACGTATAGAAAAAGAACACTTAATTTGGGTCTCACAGTTGCAGAGCGCTAAAGTCTATGACCATCGTGACAAGGAGCACGGCAACAGGAAGGCAAGCATGGCGCTAGAGTAGCAGCTGAGAATTTACATCTTAGTCCACAAACAAAAGACAAGAGAGAGCTAAATGTTCCAGAACGGTGTAAACCCCTAACTACATACCTCCTTCAACAAAGGCCACACCTCCTAATCCTTCCCAAACAGTTCCACCAGCTGGGAACTAGGTATTCAAATACATGAGCCTATGGGGGTTATTCTCATCCAAACCCCAACAGGCACTTTTTTCTGTCAAGTTTTCTCAGAATCACCACGGAAGCTGGGGGGATGGCTCAGGTGGTAAAGTACTTATCCACATTTGATGCCCAGAATCCAAATCAGTATTAAAGCTAACAGTGGTGGTGGCATGTGCTAGGGAGTCTGAGACACACCATCTTAGCGGGCTCACTGACCAATCAGCACAGCCTACTGGGTGAGCTCCTAGCTACCTGAGAGACCCTATAAGGAGGAAAAGGAGAGACCTAACATGATGGTACATGCCTTTTATTCTGAGAGGCAGAGGCAGAGGCAGAGGCAGGCAGATCTATGAGCTCTCATCCAGCTGGGGCTATATAGTGAGATCCTTTCTCAAAAAAAAAAAAAAAAAAAAAAAAAAGAAAAAAAAAAAGGCCATACTGCTTAAGAAACAACATCTAAGATTATCCTCTGACATACACACCCCTCTGAGAACCAAGCAGCCCTGGGCCACAGAGTCCCTTAGAATCTGTGCCCTTCTGGAGTTGTCTTCCAGAGACTGCGGCCTTCCCAGCCACCCGACACTGTGATGCCTCAAGTCATTAATGACACCCCCTAAGATTGCTAACCTTGTTTCGGGGAACATAGGTCCCTCCTAGATATGCCTCCTGATACAAGACATCGCTGGAACCTTAACACAACTGGATGTGTACAGTAAGTGCTCAGTATAGGGATTTCTCGAGAATGTCTGAAGTTTCGCTTTGAAGTGAAATCATACAACACACACTCAGAGACAGATACACTGAAATGCTTACTGTCATAGCTTGTCACTCGAACAAAGTCTCTCATAGCAATTATATATGAGAGCGTGCATACATTTGCTCTTAGGGAGATGGGTAAGCCACCATTCCCTGGCATTCTAAGTCCAGCTGAGCTACTCGGTTACAGAGACCCCCATTAATCAATGTACAATTAAGGGATTGTCTTATTTTTATGTAAGTTTCAGGCTTCCAGTGGTAAGGAAGGTCATTCCTACTGTGCATTATTTTAATAAAACCCACCAAGTTGGGGGCTGGAGAGATGATTCAGCAGTTAAGAGCACTGGCTGCTCTTCCAGAGGGCTCAGGTTTATTCCCAGCACCCACACGCCAGCTCACACCTCCTGTAACTCCAGTTACAGGGCATCCTATGCCTTCTTTTTGCCTCTCAGGTCACCAGAGTCGAAAGTGGCGCACAGACATACATGCAGGAAAAATACCCATACTTGAGACATTAAAATTAAAGAATGGAAATGCATACAGGTAAGTTCTGGTCTTCCTACCTTTTCCATCTGCACCGGCTTCACGGAAGCAGTAGGTTTTGGCTGTTTGTTGGCATTTGTCACTTTGGGGGGCTGAACTGGTATTTTGATGTTCTGAGGTTTCTATAAGGGAAAAAAAAAAACAAACAAACAAACCAGTGAGCAGGGCAAGACAACCAGTGCAGGCCCTATACAGCGTGGCTCTCCACACAGGTCACCTCGCCCCTGTTACCTTAGCCACTTGGGTTGCTCGGGTTGTAACTTTATTCCCAATTTCTTCTAAAACTGCCCGCCGGATAGTCACATGGCTCTTAGTTTTCGGATTAACTCCTGTGTCAATATTCTTCAAATCACTGGACACCTTAAAACAAAACAGAAACAAAAGACCCACAACTGACAATAAATAAGCAAACAAGCAAACAAACAAACAAAAAGTTAAACAGAGAAAATGAAAAAAATCCCCACCTACTAATGTCAGATACTCCAGAACTGCTCTGGACAAGGTGGTCAGGCCGCACTCTATTTATAAAGGGGAAAGCGGGGCTGGAGATGGCTCTCCGAAGTTAAGAGCATTGGCTGCTCCTGGAGTGGACAACCCCAGCACCCACTGGCAGCTTACAACAGCCTGTAATGCTAGTTCCAGGGGTCTGACGCCCTGCCCTGGATTTCAGCGTACTGCATATACATGGAAGAGTATTCATGCACATAAATAAAAGTTTGTCTTTTTTAAAGGGAAAAGGTGCACTTTAGGAAATCTGAAACTGCTATTTGAAGTATCACTCTAAAATTAGGCAAATCCCCCACACCTACCTTACCTGTAAAACAAAGATCTCCCTACTGCTCTTACGAACTGTTTTGCATATTCAAGTAGACTTTAAGAGATGTCAAAGTTCCACACCTCAGTGATTGCTTCTCAATAAGCCTGTGTCTCTTGTCAAGCGATCCTTGTAGTCACTTAGTTAGAAACCTCCCTTCAGAGTATATCCGTAATGATAAAGAGCTTTGATACCACGAGTTAATAATAGGTCGGGTTGTTTAAAACGCCCGTGTCTCAGACCTACAGTAGCTTTCATATTATAATGAAATAAGGAATAAGAAATGACACCTACAGAGATGGGCTTTTTACACAAACACAGGTTTTTATAGCACAGACTCTCTAAAGTTAAAGTTATTTGCAGTGAAACAGGAGAGATACAATTGTATGAAAAAGGAAAAACTACTGACAGTTAACAAAACAAGGTTTGTTATTCATATCCCAAAGTTTACTCTGTTGTAGAAGTAATAAATATTTCATGGCTGGGCGGTGGTGGCGCACGCCTTTAATCCCAGCACTCGGGAGGCAGAGGCAGGCGGATCTCTGTGAGTTTGAGGCCAGCCTGGTCTACAAGAGCTAGTTCCAGGACAGGCTCCAACACCACAGAGAAACCCTGTCCCGAAAAAAAAAAATTGTTCCACTGTATACTTAATAAATAAATCTTAAAAAAAAATAAATATTTCATGAGGAAATACGTCCCTGAGAGTTAGGGGGTCCCTAATTCTAAAATACCTCCCAACTGGGGGCGGAGTAAACTGACCTCTCAGGATAAGCCAGGCAAAACCCTAGCTCATCCCAACAGAAAGAGTTTAAGTATTAAATAACTTGAAAGAACCAATTAGACAAAAATTACTTGTCAGTGGGAGTTATATCTACAAGACTCGAACCCTGGCTGTATATTCATCAGTTTTTAGGATTTAGATTCCCTAAGCCACGATGTCGAATCTTTCTTGCCAGCACCCCACTGCTAATTTCAGAATGTGTTTAAAAGTCCAACGTCTTCCAGGTTAAAGCCTGGTAATGAAGACTAGGTTTAAATTCACATGGAAGAGGAATTGGCAGTTTTTAACTAGCCAGGATAATGGCAGCCAGCTGTGTCGGCGCCTCTTGTTTTCAACAAGGTAAAGTAGACCCAGGTACAATTCCAGCCTAAAAGCTAGTAATATTTTCATTCTCAAAATACGAATTTGTACGTGTCGTCCCCTCTCCCCCTCATCTGCAATACTGGGGTCCAAGTTTTGCACTTTTCCACATGGGTGGATTTTTGTTTTGTTTTTAAGAGGACAAACCCACACTTTAATGAACGTGGCCTGGAAGACAGTGTGCAGATGCCAATGGGAAGTTCACACAAAGCAAACTGTGAAAAAATGTGAAAAGCAGAAACATGGTACTGGAGGGCTTCCCGGTTCCTCCTGGTCCTCATCCCCAGCGCAGCGCAGCCCTGAGCAGTGAGTGACAGCGATGGGGACCCCAGGCCCTTGCCTCTAGAGAGCTCTGCCAAGGCCTCGCCGGCAGCCTCCGGGGCCACCGGGCAGGGCAGGACACCGCAGCCCGGGCGCACTCACCGTCGGGCGTCGGAGCAGCGCCATGAGGGCCGCGCTGGGAAGTGCGGACTGGGGGAGCCACCGGAGTCCGCGGCGCCGTTGGGAGTCTCAGGGTCTCGCTGCTCACTTCTCACGGCCCGGTCGCCGATTCAAATACCGCACCGCTCGCGCCCCATTGGGCAGCCGCACGCACGGCGCGCGCTCCCCATTGGCTGGGCCTGGAGGTCTTTCTGCACACTGATTGGCTGACTCCTATTTGCTTGTTATAGCAACCAGCAAGGCGGCAAGGCTTTGTTGTTTCCTTGCCTACGGTTTTATTTTTAAATCTAAACCCTGAGATCATTTTTTTCTCCCATTGGAAAAGCTAATCTAATTTTGACAAAAAAAAAAAAAAAAAAAAAAAAAAAAAAAAAAAAAAAAAAAAAAAAAAAAAAAGCACACCTACGGACAGATGTCTTTAGAAGTTCTGGGTGGGCAGAAGTGGGCTCTAGTGAATGAATATCCTGGAAATGCTACTTCTGACCTTGCTTCCTCTTCCGGAAAGATATACTTGGGAATTTGGCTTGGGGTATAGAGCCACTGTCTTCAGGTCGTTCAGAGCTACACCATGACTGAGAATCCAACGTGTGCAACATTATAGACTTCCTAAGACAACAGATACCCAGCAGAGGCACAAATCAAACTAAAAGTGATTTGTGTGTCAACTCGCTAATACCAGCCAGACTCGGAAGTATATGTCAAATGACAGTGTAATTAATGTGCACAAGGTTTCAAGAAGAAAACCGTGTGTCACAAGTTGTGAACAGCAAGAGAAGAGGCCAAAGAACAGAATGTTATCCTGGAGAAAAGAAGGTGGTCAAGACAGAAAAAGGCTGAGGTGGGGAGCCGTTGCTTAGTTGTATGAAACATGTGCAAAGAAAGCCCTGAAGGTGTATTCCCAGCAGAGCAGAGAAAATCAAAACACAGAAAATGGTTCCGTGCTCAAAGGCAGCAGAACGACGTGAGGTTGGGCTCCATCTCAAATGTGACTCACATCAGGCTCCCCATCACTGTTTTAGTTCAAGTCTCTTCTGCTCGGGAACTACACTGTGGTTGGAGAGCCTTAAATAAGGGTAACTGATCAGGCTTGGTCTCCCTCTACCCAAATCTGTTATCTGACAATTTCCAATCTGAGTCTAAAGACAGGAAGTCCCTCCCACTTGGAAAACAGGCTGGTGGAATTTTCCCTCACCCTTACACAAGGATATGGAGAAATCAAAGGAACAGAAATAGCTATCATCCATCTCACATACCTGCTTCAGGAGATGAAAGTTTTGTGGCTGCTGACTCCTGGCCACCATCCTTGACATCACAGATGTCACAAGTCGCTTCTCTTCCTGCAGTTTTGGATGGAGCTGAGGAAGACAGTGTGCTCAGCAGCTTGCACTATGACACATGCCTGTAACTCCAGCTACTGAGAAGGCAAAGGCAGGAGGCCCCCTTAAGCTCACAATTTCAGCACCACCTGGGCAACAGTGAGACCCCCATCTCTAAATGAAAGGAGTCATTTTAACAAAACAATGGGCTGTGATTTAAATTACTTTAATGAACTTTACAACAGGGGCTCACGTATCTTAGGCTGGTTTACAACTTCCATAATTTGAGGGGGACCTTGAGTTTCTAATCCTCCTGCTTCTACCTACTGAGTAGGAGGGATTATAGGCATGCACGACCAACCCTAGTTTAAATGACATTGCGTGTCAGAACTCTTTAAAATCTGAATTCTCAAATGCTGTCTTGGTACTTGTTTTGAATTTGCCATTTCCAAATGTTTTACCATTTGACTGAGTCTTAAGGATATGTTTATCCAATATGGAAGCAAGACTTACATGCAACTGGAAACTTGAGAAGTCCTGACACCAGTCAGAGAGAATGCTTACCTACAAAAGAAACTATGCCCAGAGCAAGGCCTTGGCAAGAAACCTACACTCAAAACATTAGACAGACAAAATGGTATGGCTCTGGCTAACAGAAAGCAATTGAAGAGGGTGCCCAATGACGAACTATAGCCTCTATACACTCACACGCCCCTGATGGGGGACTTTAGCCAATCACCTTCTGTTTAGAGTGTGTCCCCCGGGTCCACAGAAAATCAGATAAAATACCCAGGTACACTTGTTTCTTCCTCTTTTTTGCCCCCTGCTCTCCTGGATCGCTGGAACCCTGGTTTTGTAAGTTTCCTTTCTTCTGTTTATTAAAGCTGAGTATTATTTTAAGTTGGTTTGGTTAATTATTGACCTCGCCCCTTCACACCCCACCACCACATACAAAATGTAATTTTACAGCAGAGGGCATCATTTCTCCCCTTCGGCAGTAGCTGACTGCAGCACAGTATTCAGCAGCGACTCGCACACTGCGCTGTGATTATGAGGGGAGAAGCAAAAGGCACACAGCCCAGAGTCTTCTGTGAATGTAGGACAACAGGAAGTAACATCCTCGTGAATGCAGAAGAGAACTGTTCCTGCCCATTTAGTGACTAGTTGCTTGGACCTGGTGCAAGAGAAATGTTAGCAGTATCTCATGATACTGCATTTGCTTTGAAAGGTCAAACATTTTGGGGTTAAAGCAATAATTTATCTTTTTAAGATTTATTTTTTATTTTTATCACTGTATATTTGCATCTTGGAGTGTGGTATAGTGAAAATCTCCAGCATTTGAGAGGCAGAGGGAAGGTTAATCTCTGTGAGTTTGAGGCCTGCCTGGTCTACATGAGTTCTAAGCCAGGGTTTACATAGTAAGACCCTGCCTTAAAAAACAAACAAACAAACATAAATGAATTAGCAGCAATTATAAAACAGGTCAACAGGTATGTATTTAAACCACATATAATGTGTGTGAGAGAGAAATCTATGCTTTTATGTTCTGAAAAACAGTAGAGGAAACCACAGCATGGAATTCTTTCCATTTTAACTTTTTTTTTTAAAAAAAAAATGTGTATGGCAAGGCAGCGGTGGCACATGCCTTTAGTCTTAGCACTCAGGAGGCAGAGGCAGGTGGATCTCTGAGTTGGAGGCTAGCTTGGACTACAGAGAGAGTTCTAGGATAGCCATGGCTGAACAGAGAAATCCTGTCTTGAGAAACCAAATAAATAAATATGTATGTATGTACATATATATGTACGTATGTGTAGGTGTGCACACATGAGTTCCTGCAGAGGCCAAAAGTGCCAGATCCCCCTGGAGCCCACAAACTACCTAACATGGATGCTGGGAAGTGAGCTCAGGCCCTCTAAAAGCAGTCTGCACTCTTAACCACGGAGTCATCTTTCCACACACTCCTCCTTCTCATTTATGTTCTCAGCCCTGTACAGACTCGGGCTCTCTAATGGAATGGCAGTCTTATATACATCAGTCCACTTTTTGGCTTTTACCCAGTGAGGAAGCTGACCTGGGTCACTGTTCCACTCTTTCCTGACCGTCCATAAAGTAGACTGGTATTCAAATGTACTTCTTTTATCTTCTTTTTGCAGTGTTAGGCATTGAACTCGGGATGCTTGGAGTTTGGAATTTTTTAACATCAGGCTACACTCTGGCTCACAAGTATACTTTTAGCTCTATCAACCCTCCATCAGAAAGCACACTTTGTAGACACATGTTGATAATGAAATTACTCTACTGTGATACTTAGAAATATAAAAGGCAAGAGTGAATGAAAACAAGCACCAGATTATGCAAATATCAGATGGATCTGAATTGAATTCCAAGATGGCCAAAGTTAACCATTTTATAAACACTAATTATGAAACACAAAGACAATAGAAATATAAGTTATTTATTAATCAATCCACTTACAAAGCAGGTGGCTTAATGCAAGCTTATTGACATCTTCACATATGATCCATGGGAACATGTCTTCCACATACAGACAGTGCTATTACTGACTGGATGCATTTGCAATCTTGGGCATATTAAGCATATTTAAACAAATAAAATTAGGCTATCCTGTATATGAAAGTATCTTGATAATATGCATCCTGAAGTGGATTAAAACTTCCTCCAAAGGAGAAATGTTAGTATGTTAACTTTTACTCTATATTATGTTGTAAATCTTAACTATAGAAATTAAAATTTTTAAATCAGTGATCGACTCTTGGTAATGTCTGAAGTGGGTGTCTATGACCATAGCAAACAGTAGCCTGACAATACAATCTGTGCCTCACAGTATCTGCAGATTTATTGTTTTCAAGTTTAGAGAGAAAGAAAACAAGAGACATGTAGATTCAGCTGACTTTATTTAAACTATAAAAAAAAAATCCCTTAAAAGTGAGCCTGGGACCCTTAGAAGTTCTACGAATGCATAGATACCTGCCAATGACTGAATCCTAAATCCTGACTGAATGACTTTATAAAATTAATGTAAGCAGATATCTTAATTATTCGTGCTTAGCAGAAGACCTAACAAAATTCTACATGTCTTTTTCAATTTCCCTATTTTTTTTAAATCTGCAAGTATATACAATCCAGCTAACTCAAATTAATATTTAGTGTTCATCAAAGCTGTTTCACAGCAGCAAAAACTGGATTAGGGAATAAAGTTCCAAATGTCATAGAGAAAGATAAATAGGGTCAGAACAGCAGTCTAAACGTACGGCATCAATAGCAACTCTATCTTGCACTGTGCTGGAAGAAAGGATACACCAAGAAAATTCCTATTGATCACTCTGGTCATGTGAGTACCACCTGCATCTGATTGACATGGGTTGCATTCTGTTCCCAGTATTAAGAGTGGTACTTAACTCAGAACTCCATATTGTAAATATACAGCAGCCATTTTGTCCTAATTTAATTAAGGAATGTCTTAATACACAATATTATCATTTTCTAGAGAATCTTTATACATTAAACTAAAGTACATGATTGATTAAATTAAAGGTTAGTAATGGATAAAAAAATTCATAATTCTCAAGGTACTATGTAAAAAAAAAAACAACAACAAAAAGACCACAAAATACTACTTCTAAAGCAGCTAATCTTGCCTGCAAGTTTAGGGTCACAAGCCCATAATATGTGCAAAGAAATGCAATACAAGGAATCATGCAAAAATACAGTAAAATGATACAGGAAGAAATGTCAAATCTAGAAAAAAAAACCCACAAAAGCTTTTATAAATACATCAAAATCAACTGTGTACATAA